GCCCATTTTCTTTGACACGATTCAATGCATAAACTCGGTTTAACTGTGCTATTAGCCAATCAGACACATGTATTTTGAAGATAAAGCTTTTGGAGCTTATGCATTGAACCGCGTTAAAGAAAACGGGCATCAGTCCTACTTCATCTCAAAATTGCCAGATAGCGCCATCACAGTCATATCCAGAACTACTCAAAGTGATATGTCACAGTTGTGGTACGATTTCGAGTCCCTGGCCAAGTGCATGCATGTAATGTAATATACCTATATCGAGACAAACAACACACTATTAGTCCAGTTAAATAGAGATATAGTCGAGAATTTTAGTATTCATCTACGACGAACAAAATTTATTTCTTACTACAGAGCGCATGTTATTTAGATTTTTCAGTCAAACTATTTTTCTTTACGTTATTGTGATCAAGAGACTCCGTCGAGTCTCGCGCGAAGTACAGGCAAGCGGCTGTACAGGGCACAGCTCGCAGAGACTCTTTACTTGAGTCAACTCTTATACCTATGTTTGGAACGAAATATCTTTTTGAGCGCTCGCGTCCGTAATCGGGCGAACATCGTGCAGAGTCGGGTAAATGTGTAAAGCCATTGATTCCCGCTCCTGCGCTGCAATGACGCTAGGTTGAGCTAGGGAGAGCAGCCGAGACCACCTCCTCCTCCTCCTCCTCCTCCTCCTCCTCCTCTGGATTCACTCTTTCGCTTTTTACCAGTTAAATCAGTGCTAAATTTTAGTAATCGTTTTTGTAAATTTAATGCATTATGTAACATTTGTTGAGTGTCATTTGCATTACTACATGTGTCCTTAATATAGAGAAACATTAATGCCGGTTGATTTGCAAGAACATTAACTAACTGACATTAAATTCCGAGAAGGGATTATTGCAACCGGTAGCGAAATATTTGACGATTGCAACCTTGTCAGTTCTTATATGGTTTGGTTTGCATGGTACCTGATAGGACCATAGCGATTAAGTCTAGGATAGTAGTATAGTTCTTAAGCTAATCAGGGCGACGCGATTCAATGGGATGCAGCCTTAAACCAGAAGGAGGACCATGGTACAAACGAGGGTCGAAATCCGTGATAATGGTAAAATAAGTTATATTAATATTAAAATTTTGAGTTCCGTTGAATCAGATTTTATAATATAGCTTAGTAGGTTTCTAAGGAAATACACACTAGTCTTAGTCGAGATAAAGAATGTAAGTAATATGATGCCTGATTATCAAAAGTAACTTCACTGTCTAAGAATATAGAGTCATAACGTTTTTGAATAGAATTGGAACACAGATTTCCGAATAGATTTGTTCAATATAAAAATACAAACAATAGGATGCATAAAGCTGTCAATAAATAATAAGAGAAACCAATGACAAAAGAAAAATAGACCATGCTACGATAAATTGTCCATCAAGGCTATAGTTTATTGCAAAAAGGTCGTATTATTATCAGAAGTAACGATGGGAATAAGTTTTACTAAAGCAAGAAAGACAATAGTACAAAAAGCATTACAAGTAGTATAAAACACTGATTATGATTGACTGCTATAGATAAAATAATTAAATTGTATTGATGGAGTAGTGGTCAATAGTAAAGCTACAGATAAATAGAAATGACATAGAATAAAATACTTACCATGTTTGCAGCTGATGCAAGTAGTATATTTTCTCGTTTCATAGAAGCCTGTGGAAGGGAAAGGTAAAAGTTTGAAAAGAAATATTAGTTGAATGGAAGTAATATTATATTTTGAAATAACATAGAGAAAGTAATCTATTTGGAAAAATTACATATGCAAGTAATGTAAAACGTGGCCAATGAGTTATTCTAATATGTAAAATTATTAATCTATGACGATAAGCTGGGCTTTAATAGTCAGATAATAAGTAAATTCAGATTTTCAAGAATAAAATACTTACCAAGATTTGCAACATGTGCAAGTAGTATATTTTGTCACATTATCAAACTTGTTAGGAATAAAAGTAATTTATAGAAAGAGAAATAACAGGTTAATGGAAGAAACAATATATTCCAATATAACGTAAATAAAGTCTTCCATTAGAAAAGTATCATTTGCAAGTTGTATAATATATCTGGTAAATAACGAACAAATAATAATTTCGGTGAATTTTTATAATTTAAATTATGGTCAATAGAGACTATTGAAGTAATAATTTGGTAAGCATGCATATCTCAAAAAAGCATATATAGTGTGTATTTCTAATAATATTATTAATCGTTAACATGAAAATAGAATATTGTTTATGGTTTCGGCTATAGAAGAAATACCCGATAATATAATGTCAGAGCAATAGAAAGTTCCAGTAGCGACAATTAATTCCAAGAAATCCCGGTCGATTCCAAGAATTGCAAAGACATAATTTCGAATATTGCCAAAACTATTAGAGTTATAACATTATTTGCTCATTAAGTAACGAGTTATATTTTTTGACTATTTTTTATTTTGTTCGGGTTATTAAGAAATGTTTATAACTAATAGTTCGATAGTGATAATGCTATTTACAATGTTAATAATTAGTTATAGACATATATTCGTATGTAAGATGTTATTAAGTAATATGTTCGTTTATTTAATATAATCCTGTATGATCATGACATGACTCGAATAGTATAATCAATGGTTGAATAGTCGAAAACGAAAATACCATCTAGCGATCGAAGTATTGGATAGAATGAGAAATTTTCGGTGAAATTTGGCACAGCGATGTCAGGTTACGCAACAAATAGTTTAATTAGTATTATTGTTGACTTGCATTGTTTTAAGTGACAAATTTGGAAAATTATAAAATACGGACTCCAAATTGGCTGCCGCCGGCGTAGTGGGGCACCGCTAGTGCAGTGATCGTTGATTGGTTGCGCCGAAAGATCTCCCAAAGTCTACTTAAGTGGGGAGCGGGGATTCTTACTTACCGTTGTAACTGCCGTGATCTAAGGGTCATTGTCGAAAGTGATCTGGGAGTTAAATAAATAATTTTTAAGTTCTATGAAAATTTTTGGCTATATTAATTTAATTTTAATTGTTGGGTGTGAAGTGTCGTCTTTTCAGTGATCAATATTAATTTTTCAATCTCATTAGAGATTGTTAGGCTAGGACTCGGGTGGGAGTCACTCAACAGCCTAGGAATAGACGAAACGAATTTTTTTTTAGGGATCGTGAAAAAATTCTACCACAGCTCGGATTTGAACCGGGAACTCCAGGGGTCTATCCTGTCGCGTTACCAGTTTCGCCACCGTGGCTCTAACAGAACAATCTCACGATCATTCCGTTCGGTCCTTTGTATGTTTATAGACAAACTTACATTATTTTTAAGATCTATGAAAATTTTTGGCCATATTAATTTAATTTTAATTGTTGGGTGTGAAGTGTCGTCTTTTCAGTGATCAATATTAATTTTTCAATCTCATTAGAGATTGTTAGGCTAGGACTCGGGTGGGAGTCACTCAACAGCCTAGGAATAGACGAAACGAATTTTTTTTTAGGGATCGTGAAAAAATTCTACCACAGCTCGGATTTGAACCGGGAACTCCAGGGGTCTATCCTGTCGCGTTACCAGTTTCGCCACCGTGGCTCTAACAGAACAATCTCACGATCATTCCGTTCGGTCCTTTGTATGTTTATAGACAAACTTACATTATTTTTAAGATCTATGAAAATTTTTGGCCATATTAATTTAATTTTAATTGTTGGGTGTGAAGTGTCGTCTTTTCAGTGATCAATATTAATTTTTCAATCTCATTAGAGATTGTTAGGCTAGGACTCGGGTGGGAGTCACTCAACAGCCTAGGAATAGACGAAACGAATTTTTTTTTAGGGATCGTGAAAAAATTCTACCACAGCTCGGATTTGAACCGGGAACTCCAGGGGTCTATCCTGTCGCGTTACCAGTTTCGCCACCGTGGCTCTAACAGAACAATCTCACGATCATTCCGTTCGGTCCTTTGTATGTTTATAGACAAACTTACATTATTTTTAAGATCTATGAAAATTTTTGGCCATATTAATTTAATTTTAATTGTTGGGTGTGAAGTGTCGTCTTTTCAGTGATCAATATTAATTTTTCAATCTCATTAGAGATTGTTAGGCTAGGACTCGGGTGGGAGTCACTCAACAGCCTAGGAATAGACGAAACGAATTTTTTTTTAGGGATCGTGAAAAAATTCTACCACAGCTCGGATTTGAACCGGGAACTCCAGGGGTCTATCCTGTCGCGTTACCAGTTTCGCCACCGTGGCTCTAACAGAACAATCTCACGATCATTCCGTTCGGTCCTTTGTATGTTTATAGACAAACTTACATTATTTTTAAGATCTATGAAAATTTTTGGCCATATTAATTTAATTTTAATTGTTGGGTGTGAAGTGTCGTCTTTTCAGTGATCAATATTAATTTTTCAATCTCATTAGAGATTGTTAGGCTAGGACTCGGGTGGGAGTCACTCAACAGCCTAGGAATAGACGAAACGAATTTTTTTTTAGGGATCGTGAAAAAATTCTACCACAGCTCGGATTTGAACCGGGAACTCCAGGGGTCTATCCTGTCGCGTTACCAGTTTCGCCACCGTGGCTCTAACAGAACAATCTCACGATCATTCCGTTCGGTCCTTTGTATGTTTATAGACAAACTTACATTATTTTTAAGATCTATGAAAATTTTTGGCCATATTAATTTAATTTTAATTGTTGGGTGTGAAGTGTCGTCTTTTCAGTGATCAATATTAATTTTTCAATCTCATTAGAGATTGTTAGGCTAGGACTCGGGTGGGAGTCACTCAACAGCCTAGGAATAGACGAAACGAATTTTTTTGGGATCGTGAAAAAATTCTGCCATTGGTCACTGAAAAGACTACACTTCACACCCAACAATTAAAGTTAAATTAATATGGCCAAAAATTTTCATAGATCTTAAAAATAATGTAAGTTTGTCTATAAACATACAAAGGACCGAACGGAAGGATCGTGAGATTGTTCTGTTAGAGCCACGGTGGCGAAACTGGTAACGCGACAGGATAGACCCCTGGAGTTCCCGGTTCAAATCCGGGCTGTGGCAGAATTTTTTCACGATCAAGAAAAAAAAAATTCGTTTCGTCTATTCCTAGGCTGTTGACTGACTCCCACCCGAGTCCTAGCCTAACAATCTCTAACGAGATTGAAAAATTAATGTTGGTCACTAAAAAGACGACACTTCACACCCAACAATTAAAATTAAATTAATATGTCCAAAAATTAGACAAATCGACAAGACCCTTGTACACCACAAGACGACAAGAAGCTAGTAAAGATTTGGAAAGTGTAAATTATCAAAAAGCTAGGAGAAAACCAATCCTCTGTTCCAGAGCGAACCAGTGAACAGTATTGTACTGCAAATTGTGGGAACTCATCCTCGGCAGTTCCTGGTCTTGGAAATCATTGTGTCTCCACCCTGTATCAGGAAATCTGCTATCCTTGTAGATATTCTGCATCGAAAGCATTGTGCTTAGCTGTCAGAAATCGACCACTACAGAACAACCACACTCCTTAAACAGCTCAGCTCCCAATATCATTGTGATTAGTAGCTGAGCATCCCATAGCTCTTACCAGGCCTAAGGAATCATTGTGATACCCCCTAGTGTCATAGTGCATTCTCCTGCAGTGAAGTTATTGTAATAGAACTATCAGGATTGCAGATCATCCACAAAAACAATCCACCTTAAAAAGATTTAGCTCCCAATATCGTTGTGATTAGTAGCTGAGCATCCCATAGCTCTTACCAGGCCTAAGGAATCATTGTGATACCCCCTAGTGTCATAGTGCATTCTCCTGCAGTGAAGTTATTGTAATAGAACTATCAGGATTGCAGATCATCCACAAAAACAATCCACCTTAAAAAGATTTAGCTCCCAATATCGTTGTGATTAGTAGCTGTCTGAGTCGAACCTATCCTTAAGATAAGGGATTCTGCAAACGACGTTCATTGGGATCTCCTGTGGGTACTGAATCATTATCATCCGAACCAACAGCTGGCCCACGGTCTTCGGACGCATTGTACAATCTGCTGTATTGTGGTTTCAGCTATCTCTTTCCAATCCAAAAGTCTAGCAGAGAGAATAAGTAAACAAAAACACTTCTTGTCGCTTATGGTACTACTGGCAAGCTAGAGACCATTATGAAGTTTGTGTATGTGTGAGAGAGCAAAATAGAATAATAAGGATACCTAGTCTGTAATTTATAGGACAATATAACATTATTCTTTTTATCTTAAAAACTCCAGTGTCTATATTGTTTCTGAAGACGCCTGCCCAGTGCACAAACCCTACAAAAAGTCTCGTGATTCCGAAGGCTATAAAATCACGAAACGTCTCAGTATGTTTTTGTTTTAAATGCGGGACAGCTTATTTTGTTTCTTAAACGACGCTCTACAAATTCACCGTCTAAATATTGAACAGTGTTAACCTTTTAAAAATGATAGCCTGTTGTTTACCTAACGAAAAAAAAATTCTTTATAAACAAATGCCTATAATTATTAGACGGTTAATATTATCAAATATTTAGGCAGTAAACTCGTAAAGGATTAGTTCAGAAACGAAATGAGCCATGCCTAATTAAATGGGTAAAAAAATACGGATTATTCTTAGAAAAAAATTGAAAAAATGTATTTGTTCGGAAATCGATATTAATCAGGTAATATTATTGTGAATTCGTCGCTCTGAATGTTTCTGTGGGTTCTGGGCATATGTTATAATATAAAACACCCTTCACTGTAATGAATTAATTAATAAAATTTTGTAAAAACGATAAAAAATATTGAGTACTGATTTGACCGGCGTGAAGCGCTTCAACTTCCTTAATACGTTATACTTTAAAAAACCTACTTTATGTACTTTTTTCGGAACTTGTATTAGCGCAGTTAAATTGTTCGCTCTACTGCATAATTGACAGATAAACCATATGCACGATTTTCCTTTAAATACATAATCGTGTTACCTAAATTATTAATAAAATAAAATGAGAAGCTACCGTAAAAAATTAAGGGAAGGTCTACAACAAATAACACATAGTTATTTAAGAAAATCATTTGATGTGCATGTGATCATTTGATATTTATGTGCACTGGCACATGTGATCCACAATCCAAAAATACACATTCCCAATAGAAAGCAGTAAGAATTATAACACTGAAATTTGTTTCTATTATATAATCTTTGATACACCTGATCAATCCTACAATTTCCCCATCATTAATTCTATTTAGAATGTTGTTCGTGTTATTAATGTCACACGGAATAAATGGTGCTCGTTTCCCGCACACAATTCACCCGTGCACGCTAGGTATCTTTTAGTACAAATCCCCACTCATAGGCAGCGCCACAAGATAGCTGTGGCTAGAGTCCCTCTGGTAAGAGTCCGGCCAACACCCGAAAGGGACGCCATATTAAGGGCTTGTTTAGCGCCACCATGACATTACGCGCGGATTTTCAAACTATCAATCTTTACCATCAAGAAACTCGGTCATGTCTGGCGCCAAGTACAGGCAACCCGCCGTACAGGGCTTAACACTACCCAAACTACACAATGCGATTCTCTCCCATATACGTATTCACACACACCATTCTATTCCGTAAAGAGCCCGTAATAATGCGGAACCAATCACTAACAAGCCCCACCGTTGGCCGAACTCTAGGAGGGACTCTAGCTGTGGCGGCCAGCGATCGAGCAGTCAATCCGGAAAAAGGACCACATACTTCTATATACTACTAGACCGCTAGCTTCCAGTATCCTGCCCATGGAGACTAGAGTAGAGGAGTCCCATCTCTGTACATAAGGTATGACACCGAAAAGCTGTTAAAATTGAGGTTGCCTGAAACGATACTTGCGGCTCTGACTCCGCTAGCGAAACCGCCGATGGTGGGGAGAGTACTGGGCGAAAAGATATACATACATATATATATATAATCTACATGGCTTCTATATCTATATATAGATTAATAATTGAGAACAGCGACGCCATCGGCGAAATAGTGAATTTCTTATTTTCGACGCATTTCTGGTGTCATTTTTTCGTTGATTCCCCTATAAGAGATGGGATTCCTCTACTCTAGTCTCCATGATCCTGCCGTTGAAAGAAGTGAGGCAAATTTTTTGAAGTGGTGGGGGCTGTCCGCCATCTTTTGTAGGACAAATTTGTGAGTGGGTTAGTGTATCGGTGTGACACCCGACACTATTCAGTGGTGCAAATGCGTCATATTGGCATTAGCGCGTGTAGTTAGTGATTATATCCAGCAAAACTCTCCTCTTTTAATATTTAGAAAGGAAAGAGAGACTTTTTACTGCTATTTTAGAATTTGTACCGTAAATCGGATAAAAAATTCCGCCATTTGAACCCCGAACCTTACGTTTACTAAGTCAACATCTTATCCGCTTAGCTATTTGGCACACTATAAATGATATAGTCTTCGTAATATTTAAGATCTGTGCCTCCACTTGTTTGACATCGGCTTATCTGATTCGTTTCTTCATATTTATCAAATTATTTTACCTACCATTCTGATTTTACGTACACAAATACGTCTACTCGGAAAACGTGAAAACATCGAAATCACGGAACGAGTGATCGGCGTCTCCTATTTACTTTCCCCGCCTGAAATACGGAATGCCATACAAAAAATGGCGTCCGATCTCCCATTTGGGAGGAAGCATTTTCATTTTTTTTAATCTTTGGCTTCCTCAAAGATGAATTTTCATCTACTACCCACGATTCACAGGAAGCTAATTGCAAAATTAAAATTCTTGGCATCCTCATATAAGGACTTCGTACACTACTTATGATTCGGAGGAAGCAAATTGCAAGTTTCAACTTGTAGCTTGTTTAACGTGAGTCCCCATACCTTTCACAGCTTGGGGTGCTTTATACTGTAGAGAACGCATGTAAGGATAAATCTTCCATGATCTCTTCGGGCCTAATATTTTTGAATTGGCTGAAATTCAAAAACTTATTGAATATATGTATAATCAGATCCGTTTTACCGATCTCCGCTAAATTTGAGACATATCATGGCTAAATGATACTCTATACTTTTCGAAAATTGGAGCTCAATCGGTCAAAGTTGACGCGAGTTATATTGATAAATTTAATTTTTCGAAAAATTCAAAATATCATAAAATCAAAACTTCTCGATGGATTCGGCCCAAATGCAATACCAACCAACCTTGGATACAAATCTCTTTCTCGAGAACTATTTACATGATTATCACAAAATTTGCGATCGCTAGAGTGATAACGTTCTTTTTTGGGAATTTAAGAACGACATAAAATCCGAGCTGCAGCATGAACCATGACGAAAATTATAGTCAATGAAGGGATTATAGAGCTGCATACGCCTGCAAAATTGGGGGTCTGTAGCTAAAACTGTTCTCGAGTTATACACGTTTGAATTTTGGGAAGCCATTACACACACACACACACACGCGCGCGCACACACACACACACACACACGCGCGCGCGCACACACACACACACACACATCCGGACATTTTCTCCAAACGTGTTTTCTGGATGTTTTGGCACATTCTGAACATGGTGACATGAAAATCTCGACAGGAAAATTTTCCACCGTCACATAGCTTCCTCTATGAGGAAGCAAAATGTCGTCCGATCTCCCCTCCACTTTGCCTCACAGCCAGCAAGTGAGCTAGCGGTCTAGTGGTATATAGAAGTCTGTGGAAAGGACACATGTGGCGGTGGCGTCCTCAGGAGATCGCCCTGCGGGAAGCTTCCAGTCGTCTCGAACGTCAGCACCAGCTCGTTCCCCATTCCTGTAAAGAGAGAAAAGTTAATAAATATTATATGTGTATCATAAACGCTCCTACGCTATTTACTTACCTACCTCGCCGACCACATAGCTTAGGTTTTCCGGAGCGCCATCTACCCGGCGAGATTGGAACTACAATTTTGCTATAGTATATGCTTGATATACCCCACCACGTCCTCCGCATATCTATACCTATCAACACTCAACGGTTGAACGCACCCCTTGTTTCATAGTCACACCTCAGCTTTCCCTTCCAGAAAGACGGTATATTTTAGGGACATGTAATTGCCTATAGTGGCAGGACTGGCCACCATCTCAGTCCTTCTTTGTCTATTCGAGCGACAAGTTTTTCAAGGAGTTTGAATAGGGATCGCGCAGTTCATACTGTAAGTCAAACTAAGATACACCATCGATATATAGCATGGACTACACATAGACATAAGAAAACATAGTCGGCTGGAAGAAAGAGATAGCTACTGGTGGCGGCTAAGCCTTGTCTCTTTCTAATTAGTAGCGTAGTAAGATGTTTGAGGACCCCGGACATAATAGTTTTTGAACAACATAAAACATACAAGTTTTTGTATCATAATGTTATAATTAAATTCTAAATATTCGTATTGTTTTCTAGATTTCATACAAGCTGTGTCTGATCTATTAAAACATTCTATTTATTGTTACTTTCATATATTTTAGACATTTGGAAACTAAGCTTTTTATATAATTTTTGGAAAGTGAATCATGGAAAAAGGTAATATGGAAGAATTTAAATGAATTTTTCACATATCGCAATATATTTTTGTTACAAAATTAACAATTAATCGTTTAACACAGTTTTACATACAATATTCTATCTTACAAATCAAAATAAACACTACGCCACGCAGTTTATAAGCAAAGGAATCAGCGTCTAACAGTATGTTCCTGAGATTTTCTGAGTGATAAAAAAAGTAGCCAATAGAAACATTAGAAAATGAGAGCTATTGGCCGCCACCTCACTCCCTTTTTGTCTATTCGAGCCGACACTTTTTCAAGGAGCTTAAGTATGGGTGGCGTAGTCCATGCTATATGTCGATAAGATACACCTTTGCTGTCTGGGTTAGCTGCTAAATTGGTATAACGCTCCGAACGCCTAGTTCTGCGGGACACTTAAAATCCTACTCGATGTCACTGGCTACTGGGTTCCGTTGATAAAGAGTAGAATCTCACCTTGTCTCAGTCCTTCTTTGTCTATTCGAGCGACAAGTTTTTCAAGGAGTTTGAATAGGGATCGCGCAGTTCATACTGTAAGTCAAACTAAGATACACCATCGATATATAGCATGGACTACACATAGACATAAGAAAACATAGTCGGCTGGAAGAAAGAGATAGCTACTGGTGGCGGCTAAGCCTTGTCTCTTTCTAATTAGTAGCGTAGTAAGATGTTTGAGGACCCCGGACATAATAGTTTTTGAACAACATAAAACATACAAGTTTTTGTATCATAATGTTATAATTAAATTCTAAATATTCGTATTGTTTTCTAGATTTCATACAAGCTGTGTCTGATCTATTAAAACATTCTATTTATTGTTACTTTCATATATTTTAGACATTTGGAAACTAAGCTTTTTATATAATTTTTGGAAAGTGAATCATGGAAAAAGGTAATATGGAAGAATTTAAATGAATTTTTCACATATCGCAATATATTTTTGTTACAAAATTAACAATTAATCGTTTAACACAGTTTTACATACAATATTCTATCTTACAAATCAAAATAAACACTACGCCACGCAGTTTATAAGCAAAGGAATCAGCGTCTAACAGTATGTTCCTGAGATTTTCTGAGTGATAAAAAAAGTAGCCAATAGAAACATTAGAAAATGAGAGCTATTGGCCGCCACCTCACTCCCTTTTTGTCTATTCGAGCCGACACTTTTTCAAGGAGCTTAAGTATGGGTGGCGTAGTCCATGCTATATGTCGATAAGATACACCTTTGCTGTCTGGGTTAGCTGCTAAATTGGTATAACGCTCCGAACGCCTAGTTCTGCGGGACACTTAAAATCCTACTCGATGTCACTGGCTACTGGGTTCCGTTGATAAAGAGTAGAATCTCACCTTGCGAATTTGGAAGGATAGTTACGAAATAAAATTGTATATTAAGATAGAAATGTATATTTATCAACTGCAATCTGCTCTGATCGAAGGTCGATACACAATTCTTTATTTCAAACTCAAAACTCCTGGGATTCACCTCCGGAGTCTTTACAAAGATTCTCCTACCAACATAGGTTTTAGCGAACAAAGTGCGAGTTTAGAAGGAACAAAGGAAGAAGACTGTGAGCTTATACTAGCAGTTTCTCACGGTCGCTTCTTCGAAGAAAGAGCCAACCGTCTGCATTTTAATCATTGGCACTTGACTTGTTGGCACTGAACACTTTTAACGTAAATCAAAATTTTTAAATAAACATAACTAGGATAGACGCCTTTTAAGTAACAAAGAGAATACAGTTCTGGTATTCATAACTAAAACAACGTCTATTATAAGGTTTATAATATAATTTCTTAAATAATTACAACGTCACCACTTGCATGTATCGATTCTCTCAGAGATGTCTTTTTATAATTGAATCTCTTAATAATAATGTCTTTGATTAAACATATCCTATATTTATCGTTTGAATAATCGCGGGTTTTGATATTGCTAAAACGTATACCCTCTGTAGCCGGATTCCTGAACTATATCGAACGTTGTCGCATACGTCACATCGGGCCGCTTGTGGCGCTAGACATATCAAACGAAACAGCGAATCACAGTGCAGATGGTTTCCTCAAGGAAACTCGAGACCTCCCTTGAAATAAGGAGGCCAATAAGGCTCCTTGTTCTGTCAAGGAAGGTCTATGAAATACGAAACGAGGAACAAGGGATCCTTATTCCCAAAGGAACGACTATGAATACGGCTAGTAGTCCTCCCCATGCGTACTGCTTTATCTCAGCTTAAACTTTTTCAGAGACTGTACAGTGTGTAATAAAGACAGGCTACTATACTCATCTGTGTCCTTGCTATCTCTCTCTGCGCGTTCCTCGCCACTGTCGTATGGATCCCAGTATGATTAGAGTTCAGTGGTTTTGTGATGGACTCAGTTCGATTGAGCGCCGTCGCTACTGCCTCCCAGTCGCCCGGTTTGGTAGAGCTCCTTGTTTCCTGATTTGATACCGCGAAATTCAAGACACAATTCATAGTAACCCTTAATATTCAAAGCACACAGCCAGAGTTATTGCCTTTACTTATACGTAAGATATAAGACCCCAGTCGCCTTATACCATTGGCATTCCAATACTTTGTATACCTTCTCCTTTTGTAATAAAGACCCTTTTTTTTTTTGTAAGCAGCGGTAAATAAAGTAAACACTTTTGGGGGTCCTCGCAATAAGACTCAAGTTCGTGCTGGTCCAGCGTGCGTGCTCGCGCGCTGGTTAGCATGAGCTAGCGGGGTGTGTTTTTTGTCAACCACATTTGGCAACGAAATAGGCCCTTTCGCTGACTTGTCTTTTACGCGGGACCCTCTCAAGAAACTTTTCCACGCTTTCACTTTTTCCTTCCCAAAAAATTCCTCATGACAAAAAACCTTACGAAAGAAGACTCACGACGCCTAAAAGAGCTTCTTCTTCAGGCATTTGCGAACTTAGCTTTGAAAAAGTGGACAAGTATACTCACGGCACTTCTCCAGTTGGTTTTATTTTCCAATCCGCATACAGTCAGTCTTTTTCTTATCCGCACATTAGTGTAATATAAACTTTAATCTAATCCAGTATAAATTAATTTGCTGGTGTATTAATTAAATTTTTCGCGTATCATGAAAGAGTTAAACTACGTAAAGGAGGAATTTCTCGTGTTTATATCATTTCAAACTTCCCGGTCCCATTGCGCTATTTCTATAGTCAATACAGCAGCGAATCCCTGACGAATCTCACAGTCCTGAACGGCCAATCAGCGAGGGACTTCAAGGTAACCAACTTCAAGACGTAATAGTTTCCACCGTACAGAGTTTAAACAGAGTTAAGCAGCGTCATTGGTCAATTCTATTCAACTCCTATATGTGATTGGTTAACTCTGTTTAAATTCTGCACGGTGGAAACTAAGCCATCGATAATCCTGAATAAGATTTCTGAACGCCACCCTGACAAATTTCGGAACGTGCCCATTCGATGTTCATGTTTCATCATACGAAACATTCTCATTTGGAACGCACCTCAGTATTCTAAGGACCATCAGCAACATTTCACGTCTGCGCAAAGCACAAGTTTCGTCAAGAAAAAATCAAAACAATCAAGATGGCTGATCCCAATAACGAAGCTGCTTCGTCGAGTGGAGTTTCGGAACCAGCATCTTCAACTCCTACGATTCGTGACGACCTCGAAAAGATTGAGGATTTCTTGGAACCTGATAAGAAGCGCCGCAAACTTCTGCGGGGTGATGGCAAAAGTGAACAAAAGCTGGAACACCGATTGGGCGGCATCCTTTGCTGCGCTGTTTGTCTTGACCTACCGAGGGCAGCTGTTTACCAGGTAAATTTTTTATAATAATTCTTTTACGTAATTCTAGTAGAATTAAGTAAACAATGTGCCATTAAAAACGATTGATACAATTTTTATTATCCAAACATTTGTTTTTTACATAACCGCGTTATACGTCACATTACTACTGCAACATGATATAATACTTATAAATTGTTGAACTGTTAATATAATAGTCTTATTTCATTGTTTTAAATTTGATTGCAAAGTTATATTATTTATGTTGCAGTTACAGTATGTTTCATCATTTCATGGTCATACTTTCTGTGTCATATATTTTTACATTCACATTCAACAAAAACATGTTTTACAAGAATATTTTCAATTTTTTTGATTGTTATTCACTGTCTTTTACAGAGTTTTTCACCGTTTTTTTACAGGGTTATTCACGGTAATCGCACCAGGTGAAGTTAACCACAAATGGATGATTTCAACAATCAGAACAATGTGACATCATTACAGAAATTAAAGTTAACGTCATAAAATGTTATGACGTTAAACCTAATAAGATTTGTTCTCATTATCTGCAATTACTGCACTTTTCAAAAAGTGGAAACTCTTATTGGATAATGTTTCAAAGTAACCAATGAGATCTTGTCCATTTTGAAAAGTACATAAAGTATAGGTGATAAGAACAAACCTATTATTAACATCATGAACTTTAAAATCTTTTATTTATTTAATATGGTCAAACTGCCTCGACTAACAGAATGATTCAATTGCATCTAAGTTCAAGTGGTGCGATTGTAGTGAATAACCATGTATAAATATTGAATATAGGTGCATAAAATTCATTGTTATTGTATAAGTACTATTACTATTCTTTGCTGTCTCCTTGACTGGTAAATTAAATATTTTCATTAAAAGTATGTTAATACGTTGCCAACCAAATGGGTACAACATACAGTTCACTCTAGCACACAGTTGGCTAAGTGTTAATGAGAGAGTCATGAAATGGTGAAGTACATCATATGTAAAACAATACTTGTAAGCAATTAATTTCTATAATTTAATTATATTCATGATATCCTTTACTTATTTCAATTGCATATAATGCACATATAGTATAATCATTTAAGTTTATATTAAATTGTTTAAAGTGTTTAAATATCATGGAATAAAGTAAATGCTTAATTACTTTTCTTAGTATAAGGTAAAATCTATAACTCATTTTTGCTATGAATGATTATTTTGATCAAAATATATGTCGTATATAGAAAAATGATAATTTAATGAAGAATATTACATGTAGTTCCTTTGGTATCATCTATTAAGTTCTATGTAATTAATTTGGGAGATTTACTACCATGTGCAATTTAAACAATCATGAAAGCTTACAAAATACAGAATATTAAGTGGATTCATATAATATATTAACATTGTTTTTGGATAACTTATTGAAGGACATATAAATATTTAACAATGGATGAAGTAAAATTAGGTAAGGTGTGAATATATATAACCTTTACTTTGATATATGAGAGGTAGGTAATTGCATGTTTAAATTATTTTAATTGAAACATAATTTGAAACAAAAATAATTATTTATGTATTAATTGAGTATCAAAAGAGTATATTTAGATACATTAATACATATAAACATTAAAACCAAAGATTATATTTTCAGTAAAAGTACAGTTCAAACAGTCACACACATTATACAATTGTGTATTATAAAAAAAAATATTAATTATGGCATCTGTTTCCTGACGCGATTGGTGAGTGTATATGATAATTTATAATATGAATATGCCACTAACATATCTTCATATGAAACCAAGTAATTGTACTTATTTTTCTTGATTGTACATAGCATGTATGAATATTTAAATCTTTTAAGATGAATATTCATTAAAGTGAGTACAGGTTGGCACAACTGATGTAATTGAAGATTATTGATGATTTTATAAATTACTGTGATATTTACATTATCAAAACTAGGGGGTATAAGCATATTTTATTTATATTATTATTCAGTAATTAACCTAAATCTCAACCTAATCAGTTTTATTAGAATACAGTATTTTGATTCATCGTTTATCTTCTTGAATGATAGAACACAGGAAAACCTATTTTCATTCTTCAATATCTTTCTTGTAAACATCGTGTTGTCATCGAAGAAAACTACGTTACAGAAATCGTTTCTGATAAATAAGTTTATTGTATATTCTATCATTTGAACTGCAATCTGTGGAATAGAACACATTATGATATATGAATACTCAAAAAGAAGGGAATGTTTTAACTTTCAGTATTGCCAATCTTATATGCGCTTTTTGCGGTTATTACTTTTAATATAATTAGATATGTTATAATATATCCACAAATGGCGTCGTAAATTTATGAGTGTGTGACAGTTTGTTTAGTGATAGGGAGTGAGAATGAGAGGAGTGAAATACCAAAATTCTTTGTATGCCATGTATGGTTTAAAAGGATGTTCAGAATAATAAATATCATTGAAGGTTTTTAGTTAGTTATTTTAAATCTAATCACCTAATATACCTCTCCTACATTTTGCTGTCCTATCCAAAACCATTTATCGTGACATTGCTAATAGAAACAATATGCTATTTTTAATACAAGATTTAACGTTATATTACTCTAGTCCTATATTGCGATAATGTAACTATTAATGGAGTCCATGCGATTGTGTGTTTCAGGTTTTAAAACATCAAAATCATGGTAACGAGTATTGTATTTGTTTATTCTAATTTGTTTATGCTCGGTGAACATTCAAATAAGATACATATGTTAACAAAGCATAATATCAAGAGAATATGTGGAGACCTAAAATCTTTACTTTGTTTATGGTCAATTCTCTCAATACAAACTATGATAGTATTTCATACAAGTTGCGTTTTGTAATACTACAGAATAGTAAAAAATTGCTCTGAAGGCGGTTGTACTGTTCATTTAATGATTACTCTTAAACTGAGAACACACCAGTACATTTTACTTCCTATTTAAGGTTTACAATGTTCTAATAATTATTGCAAAAATGAATATTAATTAGGCATGCTGAAATGGTGTTTGCAGTGCACTAATGGACACTTGATGTGCGCTGGTTGCTTCACTCATGTCTTGGCAGATGCCAGATTAAGGGACGAACTAGCAACGTGTCCGAACTGCAGAATTGAAATCAGCAAAACGTCAGCATCTCGAAATTTGGCTGTTGAAAAAGCGGTATCTGAATTGCCAGCTGAATGTCAATACTGCGCTAAAGAGTTTCCTCGAAATTCTTTGGAACGACATGAGGAAACTATGTGTGAAGAAAGGTATATGTTTCGATAAATTAATCATTAAACATAATTTTAACAGCAAGTTATGATTCTTTTTTTATTTATAGGATATCAAGCTGCAAATATAGCAGAATTGGTTGTCCATGGAGAGGTCCCAATCACGAAGGTCCAGAACATGAAGCTCACTGTGTTCATCCTCATCGTACTGGTGCCGATGTAATGGATGCATTACGGGATATCGATGCTAGAACGTTGGAGGAACGGCGACTCTATGACAACGTTTTCGATCTTTTATCCTATGAGAAAATTACTTTCAATGGTTAATTTCAAGGTTTTTTTTTCAAATTTCTCATATAATAGATGCCGTAAAACTTATGTAGCTAATTTTATAGCAACAAAGTAAATGTTTCTTGTAAGCTAAACAATTGAATAATTCCGGAACGTATGCTGAATTTTTGTTTTCATATGCCAAAAATACTTTAGTTTGATTAACGGTAATTTTTTCAAACTATATTCAAAATCAATAACGGTTCAATAACCTATTCTGTAGAATAATTTAGTGGTAATTCTTCTGAGTACTCATTTTTTTGCTATTGCTAAAAAGTTATGGGAAAATTAATTTTACTAAAAAATTCAAGACCATGACTAAAATATCATGGCATGCTAAAAATAATGAACTAGCAACAAAGGGAGTGCAAATTTCTAATTTTCTATATTCTGAATTATTTACTTCACCTGAATAATTATTTCTTTATATCTATGGAGTCTTCTGAAGTTAAACTTTATGCTGTCCAATTGCAATAGAATCACAGAATTTCCCTAATTATCAAATATAAAAGTGTTTAAGATTTTCCGAAATTTGTAAAATGTAGCCTGGTGTATTGACAATTTGGAGTTAGTTACCAAGTGCGATTTGGTGCATATTTTCACATTCACTAGGTCATATATACGCGGTGTTGTTAGATGTGGTCAGTTAAAAACGTCTTTAAATATACCTATGTGTATTTAAATTGTTATATTTGACATCGTAGTCTATAATTTACTTGGCTTATTAATGTTATACTATTGTGAAAATTTAATGTTTCTTACGTTTTTATTGTCTATCAGTGTATTCTAAAGTTCATTGCTAGTACCAGTAATCGGTCTGTATCGGATATAAACAACAATATTTAAATGACTAACAATGAGTTATAGAATACAACCTATACATCAAAAACAGTTAACACCACCAAATTGAAATGTTTTTGCAGATTTACAAATGAAGCCATACCGTACGGACGAGTTTGTTCACAAGCTTTTTTACGAAACATCCCGCTTTACAGCTTTCAATAATCAATGGGTGGTTAAAGCCAGAATTAATAACAGTCAACGTGATCCCACTCAAAGTTCAGAACGTGATATGACTTATCAGGTTTGTTATTTGAATTTATTAATAAACTTATTGACTATAAGATCAAGTAAACACTTTGTAAGCAATGAATCGTATAGTAATGAGGATAAGAATACTAAGATATAGTTCACAGATATAATTAAAATTCGTGCAGAATTTATGAGAGAGTATATGTTTTAAACCGCGTGATGATATATTACAGCTGATTTTGAAAACGAAAACTACGTACCCCTTGCCTCTTCATTATTTGATTTTAAAAGGACCGTTTGGTGATATGAAAGTTCAGCCAAGGATTCACAAATTTGACTTTACTGAACAGGACAACGAAAGCCCTTATTTACCTCTCCCATTGCCAGATACAGCAGAGTGTAACAGACTTCTTGCCGCAAAGGCCATCAGTTTTCGGTAAATATATCTTTTTACTAGGAAATTATAAATTTACACTTGAGTTATGCTGCAAAATTCACTATGAGGAGTGCTAAGATTATTATACCGCGTGTTTCACCTAACTTGACCACCTTAAATATCTCGGTAATTATCGACGACACAAAAAAATGTTCCAGACAAAAGTTGTACAGTGTGGAGGTTCAAATTGTACTTCCCCTTCAAATGCGACCAATTTTTTTTTTATTTCAGTGGAGGCGTTGATGCACAGTGAAGGTCACCGTCACTTTTAAATAGAATGGTACATTTTTTTTTCAACTATCTTGTTAAGCACCTCAAGTTGTATAAAAAAGATTAGGGGGTCAAAGTTGTTCAAGGTCATTCAAGATCAGTATCGATGATAAAAATCTGAATATCTCGGATCACTACCAAATATTTGGTATTGGTATACCTTCAATGTCCCCCATAAAGAAAAATCGAGTGGATTTAAGTCCGGTGATCTACTAGGTCAGCCTATTCGTGATCCTCGGCTAATCTGCTTATTACCAAATTTTCGGTCGACAATATTGCGAGCTATCCGTGCAAAATGAGCTGGACAACCATCATGTTGATACCAGAGTTCTTGCCGATCCCACAAGGTTAGATCTTCAAGCAGCACAGTTAATATTTCTTCCAGAAAAGCAGAAATAAAATATAAATATGAAAATACCAAATGTCTAATAGCCGTAATCATAGTCGTTCCTTGAGGAATAAGTATCCCTTGTTCCTCGTTTTGCGTTTCATAGACCTTCCTTTACAGAACAAGGAGCCTTATTGGCCTCCTTATTTCAAGGGAGGTCTCGAGCTTCCTTGAGGATACCTTCTGCACTGTGATTGGCTATTTCGTTTGATATGTCTAGCGCCACAAGCGGCCCGAGTTAGCAGCTAGCCCAGCTCAGGCAGCAAAGATGTATCTAATCAGTTATTGAAATTGTCGGCTGGTTTTAATCATCAGTTTTCTTTCCAGGTGTTGACCTTACGTAGTCCACGTAAAATTATGAAAAAAGACAGTACGTATTTCTTTTACGTTTCGACATCATCATCTTCAAAAATGTTTTATTACTAGGTAAACATGTATGAACTATTGAACAATCATTTGTTTCATTGTGTACAAAATAGTAGGCCAAAGCTAAAGCCATAGTTAATAGATCAGCTGTGGCTCTTTTTAACTTTTGGCTAATCCTGCCTTTACATGTAACACACAAACTCTTGTTGGTTTGGCCTACTATTTTTTACACAATCTAACCAATGATTGTTCAACAGTTCATACATGTTTACCTAGTAATAAAACCTTTCTGAAGATGATCCCAATGAGGGTCGAAACGTAAAAGAAATACGCATTGTTGTTTTTTTTTAATTTTACCTGGGCTGCGTAAAGTCAACACCGGGAAAGAAAATTTAAGGTGCATCTTGGCTTGGCTTATAGTATAGACTACGCGATCCCTATTTCAAACTCTTTGAAAAAATGCCGCTTGAATAGACAAAGAGGGACTGAGGTGGCAGCCAGTCCTGCCACCATAGGCAATTACATGTCCCTAAAATATACCGTCCTTCTGGAAGGAAGAGCCGAGGTGTGACTATGAAACATAGACGCCTTGGAGATTGAAGGAAGCCTTCATCAAGGCGTCCTTCATCCTTAAGATAAGGTCGGACTATGAATACGGCTGTAAGACTACCAAATATTTGGTAGTTATCCGAGATATTTAGATTTGTATCATCGATATTGACCTTGAATGACCTTGAACGACTTAGACCTCGGAATGTTTTTTATGCAGTTTGCGATGCTCTACAAGATGGTTGAAAAAAAAATGTACCGTACCATTTAAAAAAATGGAGGTGACCTTCACTGTGCATCAGCCCCTCCACCGAAATAAAAAAAATTGGTCGCATTTGATGACCCCCTTCGCATCGTACAACTTTTGTCTGGAACATTTTTTTTGACGTCGATAATTATTGAGATATTTAAAGTGGTCAAGTTAGGTGAAACACCTGGTATAAGTATTGTTGCTGAATATAACGATAATGGTTGTCAATACTGATACTAAATTTCGTAATGTTAATGCACTGTTTCAGATATAGTCGGGCCACAAGTTCAATGTATTTTTTTTAACAGATCAAAAACAATGAAGTCTCTTGCAAGGTTACAAGTACACTGCACAAATATTTGTTACAAAGTATGCATATGTATGGTTTTTGCACTAAATATATTTTATTTTTCTATTTTAGTATATACAGGGTGAGGCGCGAGAAACAGGACATCTGAATATCTCTTTTGGATTTGAAGATACGTAGTTCGTAAATATCGGAATTTAAATGGTTTGGAAGGACGCACATGGTTGTCATAATTTTTTTCATTTTTTTTTTCATTTTTTACCAGTTTTTTCAAGGTTATAAGAGTTTTTTTTAAATGGAACTGCATATTTTTTCTCCTTGCACATTGTAGCCGGCATCCAAACGAATCCAACCATGTAACATAGTATAACCTTTAATCGACCTCCAACCCAGCAGAAATATGATAATATGATAATATGATAAAAACGATGTGTAAGCGATTTGGCTTTATTTCTGTTACGCTAAATATTCAAAATCACTTCCTTGCACTGCGATACATTTGTTCAGCCGTGTAATAATTTACTACTCTGTAGTTCATTTCTAAAGGAATCGATGCAGAAGCCCTGGCGATTCTTTCTTTCATGTTCTCTGCAATGGTTCGTCGTTCATGATAGACTTCCTCCTTCAATTTTCCCCATAGATAGAAATCGAGGAGTGTGAGATCTGGTGATCGAGCTGGCCTGGATGTGACCCGGCTCACAGGAATCGTTTAGTGTAACAGAAATAAAGCCAAATTTATTACACGTCGAATTTTTATTCGTTTCATATTTCTGGGATAGAGGTAATTTAAAGGTCATACTATGTTACATGGTTGGATTCGTTTGGATGCCGGCTACAATATGCAAGGAGAAAAAATATGGCATTCGATTTAAAAAAAAACTCTGATAACCTTAAAAAAACTTGTAAAAAATGAAAAAAAAATTATGACAGCAATGTACACCCTTCCAAACCATTTAAATTCCGATATTTACGAACTCCGTATCTTCCAATCCAACAGATATATTCAGGTGTTCTATTTCTCGCGCGTCACCCTATATTTACATCATTTTATGGAAAACCACATGTCATTTATTAAGGATTACATTGTTTGCGAACTATAGAAATAAAACACATTGAACTCGTGGATCGACTATATTCATGGTAAATAACCGAAAATTGTCTTTCATTCAAGTGATTTATAGTTTATTTTTAATTATTAATAGCGTACTAATTCTTCATCCTCTTCCTTCTTTCTAGCGTTATCCTTTAACGGCCAAATGCCCGCAAGGTTAATAGTACACACTTGTGATTTATAGTTTATTTTTAATTATTAATAGCATACTAATTCTTCATTCTTTTCCTCCTTTCTAACCTTATACTTTAACAGTTAAATGCCCGCAAGGTTAATAGTATACATTTTTATTCCTTTTCAAGATCTTCCCCTATATTGATATGCTTTAGAAGTATTGATAATATTTGATTTCTATATAGTTTATGTATTAGTTCATATCGTGTCTAACCCGGCTGTTTTTTCCAGATTAATTATGTTTCTGGCATCAAAGTAAGTTAATCCGAGGATTTCCGTCTTATTGCAATGAACATATTAGAAGGAAGACTTAATTATTCTAATAATGATAAGATCTAAGTAACAAACTTATTGGCAATTATTTAATATGGAAGAATAGTAACGAATGATGCTATTATTGATAGAAAAACTGTAATGTTATCATGTCTCTTTAAATTCATTATTAGGTAGATTTAGTAAAAAAATATATATATGATATAATGTAATTAGACGTAACGTAATATATCATTTATGTTATATATAAATGTATCCACAGGGCATCAAAGATACTGAGAATTGATATTAAGGTTGGTGGATTTTCGTTCATGTCATTTGGTAGGCCTATCGTTGACCGGAAATTTCTATAATTATTTAGTAAAAGGTGGTGATTCCATTATTTCTACTCGAATCAATCGATATACTAATAGATTACTACTGTCCAATAGTTTTCCTTAGAATATTGTTGAATTAAAAATTATGAATACATTTAGATGATCTTATGGTCAAGCTGTGTAATATATTGCATTTAAAAAAACGATCGCTTTATGGTTGGTAATGTAAGCAAGTCCTTCGAATGTGGCATTAATGTTACAGTTTTACAATAATTAGTATCTTAATAAGCAGTTGATTAAAACAAATTTAATTAGACTTTTCTAATTGTAAAATGTCGAATGAAGAATCATACACAAAAATGAGCAAAAATTATATCAGGCGATTAAGCAGCCAAAAATTATGCTTTAACAACCATGAATATATAAAAGATGCGTACTTTGACGTTTTAATATTATTTCAAATAGGAAAAATGTCTTATATTTAGGTAGAAAATGTTATGTTCTTTGAGCTTTTAATAACAACAAACATGAAACTTCAGAAATTTCAACAATGGAAATTATTCATATAGTTGTGCAGTGAGTTTATTTTATTTCTATTTCTCTTTTGTGGATGCATATGTAGACTTTTGAAGTATATTCTCAAACTAACACTTTAATTATCCTTACGCTTAAAAAATATTAACCAATAAGTTAAGAACAAATTTTTGAATGTACCCATCATATTTTTTACAATTGCCAAGGATAAATTTGTAAATTACCCATGCCATAGCTAATTATTAAGCATCATAATTTGTCAGAAAATATTGAATTTTAATTTATCTAGCTAAGTGTTAGATACAGGTATATATTGAATGATTCAGTTGTAATTGATTGAACTGAAATAAATACAAAATTCAAATCAAGTTTTCACTTGATTTTCTCACAGTATATCGTACAGAAACAATAAATATTGTCTCTTTAACGCACTGGAGATTACAAATCTCCGGTTAGGTAGC